CATAACTCTTCATGTTGTCCTGTGGGAAACTGTCAATGACCTCTTTCAAAGCCGGGAAGTGCGTGGTGCAGGGCTCTGTTCGGGACACGTGTCTTTGGAAAAGTTGCAGCTTTGTTCCAAAGGCTTTGATGTGAGCATATAGCTGGCTCACCACTGCATCTCGTCCTTGAAGATTAACATTCAACGCATTCAGATGCTTCGTTATGTCATTTAAAAAATCCAAATCTGCCAGCCATACAGGATCGGACAGTTCTTCCATCGGCTGCCCCTTTTCACTCAAAAACTGTCCAATTTCTTCTCTGAGAGTGAAAAATCGCTGCAGTGCGGACCCCCGACTTGGCCACCTCACATCGTTGTGATATATTACGTCTCCGTATTCAGCCTGGATGTCAAGCAAGAACTGCTGAAACTGTCGGTGGCATAGTGCTTTAGAGCGAATATAATTGATTGCCTTTACCACTGGATTCATAACATGATCATATTTGAGATGTTTGGCACAGAGAGCCTGCTGGTGAATTATACAGTGAAGTTTAATGGCGTTACCTCCTTCTTCGCTGACTTTATTACAGATCAGTGTGGACAATCCACTTCGCTCACCAGCCATGGCAGGCGCACCATCGGTAATGATCCCAGAAACTTTACTCCATGGTAGTTTCATATCATCAACAGCTTTACAAACAGAAACAAATAAATCTGATCCTCTGGTTTGGCCTTTCATGCTTTGGAGGTCCAACAGCTCCTCTGTTATGTTCATGTTATTGTCAACTCCTCTTAAAAAAATCAGTAGCTGTGCAGTGTCAGATGCATCTGTGCTTTCATCGCAGGCTAATGAGAAATAATCAAAAGCCTCTCCCCTGTCCCCCAGTTGGCTCTGAATATCCACCGATATGTCCTCGACTCTCCGTGCCACAGTGTTACGTGCCAGGCAAACATTCGCAAATTCTTGTTTCTTCTCAGGGCAAATGTTCTCCACCATTTTCATAACACAGTCTTTGATAAATGTACCTTCAGTGAAAGGTTTGCCCTGTTTAGCTATTAATATGGCCACTTCGTAGCTTGCTTTGGTTATATTTTCTTTAGACTTGTAGGCCCGCGTGAAGAATTGCTGCTGTGATGCCAGTGCAGTTTGGAGCTGCTTCACTTTTTCAGCACGGTCACTCGCTGTTAGCTTGTCGTATGTGTTAGCATGTTTAGTCTGATAGTGTCTCTTTACGTTAAAATCCTTAAACAAGCCAACCGTCTCTTTACAAATCAGACAAACACAATTGCCTCGATTTTCAGTGAAAAAGTATTGTACTTCCCATTTCTCTTGAAAGCGGCGGCCCTCACTATCAACTTTTCTTGTTTTCTTTGCAGTTGCCATGGCAGCAATAAGCGGAGAACGGTTCGCGGCACGGATGCATAGACTAATAGTATTAAAGTGGTGCTGCCACCACTTGGTGAAAGGAGGAATTGCAGTTTTAAATTTTAGGATTTATTTATTCTGTTTGAGGGGCGTGGCATAAATAATATATAAAAAAAACGAAGCTGCGGGCCTTATGAAATCTGGCCGCGGGCCGTGATTGGCCCCCAGGCCGGACTTTGGACATGCCTGCTATAGACAGAACGCAGTCAGAGCATTCTGCTGACACTGGTGACAATGGGAACCATGGCACTGGTAACCATGGCACTGGTAACCATAGCACTGGTAACCATGGCAAACCCGTTGTCTTGTAAGTCGTAAAATGTTGCACTGTCGCAAACGAAAAATTACACTTTATACTAGCACGGCCAAAAAAAAAAAAGGCTGTTCCCCAGGGTCACACGCATCCCCCCAGGTATCGCCCCACTATTTGAGAAGCACTGCCATATGTGAGACACACTTGCCCAACATGAGATTGCTGGATTTAAACACCAAAGTCAAGAAGCATATAGTTGGCAAACATTTGAGCCTGACATACTGGTGCTTGGTCCAAGTAAAATGGTAGCTTTAAATGTGATGGACAGGGGCTGTGAGATAGCAGAGGCTCTTCAAGTAGCGATTGACACTAAGCTATTAGATGTTAGATGGGCCAAACACCATGTAAATGTGTATCGTCCAGGTTTATAATGAGATGCGAGTTTTTCACAAAATCCACCGTGTCGTTCTTAAAGACGAGAGGTTAATGTTGTCTACATTTGCACTACAAACAGTGTGTATGGATGAGCATTTTTATGCATTTAAAGTTGTATGCACTGCAGAAGGACCTCATGTTGTTGATGTCAAAGAGCTTTTGTGTCACAAAGCATTTGATATGCAGATGTCATACAGTAATGATGATTCAAGTTAATTTATTGTTCCATACTGTTCCTGTGATGAGAGTCGCTAAACTCAAACTATTGCACCGGGATGAACAATGGATTTCTGAATTTCTTTGCCCACAACTCAAATTCTAATCTATTCATATTTCCTCTTCTTTTATGAAATCCACCCAATTTCAAAGAGCACATTGTGTCCAAATTGTGTAAATATAGTATACATTTTCTGGCTGGGCTGATGGCTATTGCAATATTTTACAGCCGTATCTGCAGCTACTGGTGTAGTGATTGTGTGAATATTCTTATTGTTTTTATCATACTATAGAGAGGTGTCACCCCAAAATATTCCTCCCCCCATATTGATTACTTTGCCCATGGAGCCTTATTCATGGAGATTTTTGTTGCAAGTTTTGAGGCCATTTTAATTTTTCATGTTTCATATAATTCTGTCATATTACAAAGGCCAAACAGTATTGACATGTTTATGATGGGTGCACAGTGCATGTATTATGCATTTAAGAAAAATACAAGTTCACAGTTGAATATTAATTTCTGGTCTCTTTTTATTATTTCAAACATTTTAATCAAGAGTTGTTATTAAAATTAATTTTAAGTGAGGTGTTTGAAGGGGCAGCTTTACATGTCACCACTGCTGTCTCCCAAGAGTACAGGCATGACCTCCAGCGCACAAAGAAGCCCAAAATTCTGTCTGATAATAGTGCAGAGCCAGGTGTAACATTTAAAGGAAAGGATAAGTTTCAGATCGAAACTTTCAATGTTGTCATTGACAAACTCGTGTCCTGTCTTGATCACCGTTTGAATGCATACACACACTTAACCAAGCTCTTTGATGTTCTTTTCATGCCTGACAATATGTCC